GCGCGGCGCGGCAATGGCGCTAAGGCCTTGCCCGCCGCGCTGCCCGCGCTGCCAGCGTAATCCACCACGGCATACGTGGTCTCTGCGTCCTCTCGCGTACGACGTACTATCTCGCGTTCTCCCTCTCCTCGCAGCGCTGTGTCTCTCCGTCGTACTACGGCCGGCCTCCTAAGGGAAATTTAGTGTTTTCTATGGTGCTTTTTGCTTTTTCTCCTCACTAATGTTCCTCATTGCACCCCTTGCCTAATGTTTGAACAAAATAACGCATCAATTCAATCCCGACTCGTGCCTTTAAGGTAACTGCCGCATAAGCACAAACTCGTTGTTGCCGGGAATCATGAGCTGGGCTTCGATGACACGGAGAATCTCAACGAACGTGTTCCACATTACCAGGGCCAAGGCACACCTAAAGGTTATCGTCTGTTGACAAATGTCACCTGGTTGCACGACAAAGGAGTCGAGGTGAGTATCAGCGAAAATCGTAGACCCTTATGCCTATGGAGTATTCACGGCAAAGTCTACGATGGAAAGGTAGCTCATTAAAAACTTAAAAGGTTCTGCTCTCATAAACTCATGCACACCCATTCTCTGCTGAACGGCTAGAGTCAGACGGCGCGAAAGTGGGCGCACCCCGGCGCGTGCGGCGCGTGACCGGTCCTGCTGGGCCGCAGCGGCATGCTGTTCGCTGCGAAACGCGCATCGTTCGGAAAATTTTATCAAGGGCTTCAAATTTTTGCAACTTCTACGTATCCACCAGGACGTTATTCTTCACCCGATGTCACTGATCATGAGAGATAAAGAGTATGAAGGCTGAACAGTTTGAGACTGGCTGGTGTAGAAAATATGATTTAGATAAGATCAGGTGAAGTTCCCTGGAATTTGAATTGTTATGGAGACGGTCTGCAGGTGGTGCGGTCCTTACAATAGGCAGAGGGTCCTGACCATGTACATACCATCACACCGACCCGAGAGTAGAGTAAATCCCCGTTAGGCTTCGCCAAAAAAGGGGACCTCAAATCATAATTATAGGGAGCCGGGTCTATTCGGTGAGAAGGAGGTGCTTTTTCCAGAGAAATCTGGGAGGGAACCAATTTTTTTGGGAGGGGGTGAAATTGTTTTAAGAAAGATTTGGTGAAGATACGAGGGTTTTCTTTTCAAATAGTCACATGCGTGCACTATGTACTATGCATTTCTCGCTCCCTCCCCCCCCCCTAGCTCCCGCTCGGTTCACTTTTGGAGCTCCAATGGTAAGGGCGGGGTTTTGAGTATGCCAAGATGAACCAGGTTAAACGACGATATCGTGTGCATCATCGATCCTTTCAAGGTGGTCGTGTTGGGAGCCTCCTAGAGAAAGCAGATCGTCGTACAATTCTAGAACTTCTCCCAAAATGCCGATCAATTCTGCTCAGAAGGCATGGACTCTTAGGTTGGCCTAGGGTAGTCTATTGGACCCTAGTAATGAAGGATATAAAAATCAAAGGAAAACAAAAAGGATTAAGCGTTTAC